CAGCTCACCTCCTCCCTTCACCCACATTCCACATTATAGTTACATAGTAACCCACACAGAATGTATGTCCTTTTTTTCACACAAATAGATCTTTCTTTCAGTGGTATTTGATCACCCGTGCACTTTTTATTTTTCACGCTATAAACAAAAAAAGACTGAAAATTTTGAAGAAAAACTATATTTTTTAATTTCAGCTATAAAAAATATATAGTAAACTCAAAGTTAGTTATAAATTTAGGCCAAAATGTATTCTGCCATATGTTTTTGGTAAAAAAAAATCTCAATAAGTGTATATTGATTGCTTTGTGTGAAAGTTATGGCGTCTACAAACTATGGTATAGATACTGCAATTTACGCCATTTTTTTGCTATACAGCGCTGCGCTAGTTTAACGGACAATTGCGCGGTCATGCAATACGGTACATAAATGAAATGTATGTCCTATTTTCACACAAATAGAGCTTTCTTTTGGTGTTATTTGATCACCTGTGCACTTTTTATTTTTGGCCTATAAACAAAAAAATTTTTTGAAGAGAAATTTTTTTTTAAAAAAAAATATTATCTCATTTCAGTCATAAAAAATATCCAAAAAAACTAAAATTTCGTCATAAATTTAGGTCAAAATGTATTCTGCTATATGTCTTTGGTTAAAGAAATCCCAGTAAGTGTATATTTATTGCTTTGTGTGAAAGTTATAGTGTCTACAAACTATGGTATAGATAATGGAATTTACACAGATTTTACTTTCTGACTGCTCATCACATTTCTTGAGGTGCTAAAATACCAGAATAGTACAAACACCCTCAAATGACCCCTTTTTGGAAAGTAGACACCCTAAGCTATCTGCTGAGAAGCATATTGAGTCCATGGAAGATTTATTTTTTTTCCACAAGTTTCTGGAAAATGACAAAAAAAACTATTTTTTTTTGTTTTTACACAAAGTTGCCATTAAAAAGATTTCAGGCTTCAGGCTTTTCAAAGTGGTCATTGGATTTCAGATACCGTAATGAGTTTCCAAGCAACTGGTCTGGCAAGGTTTGAATTTGGGTTGGTGGCGATAAATTATTGTGCATATAAATTGCTTTGATCCACAATCAACGCATACAGATATTCCGTGAAAAACAGCTCAAAAAATCAAAGGGGTATGTGAAAGACCAAGATGTACTAGACCGCTGGTACGCGCCAGTTCACCAAAAGGATGAATAGCTCTACACCGAGTTCCTTATATGAACCACTGAAGTATTTATATATGTTACTTATATCCCCCCTTATCTCCTCTTCTCAAGAGAGAATAAATTCAGTTCCTCTAACCCAGTGGTTCTCAACCTTTCTAATGCCGCGACCCCTTAATACAGTTCCTCATGTTGTGGTGACCCCCAACCATAAAATTATTTTCGTTGCTACTTCATAACTGTAATTTTGCAGTGGGAGGACTAGTGCCCCATCATTGGTATCAGTGGGAGGAATAGTGCCACATCATTGGTGTCAGTGGAAGGAGTAGTGCCCCATCACTGATGTCAGTGGGATGAATAGTGCCCCATCATTGGTGTCAGTGGGAGGAATAGTGCCCCATCACTGATGTCAGTGGGATGAATAGTGCCCCATCATTGGTGTCAGTGGGGGGAATAGTGCCCCATCACTGGTGTCAGTGGGGGGAATAGTGCCCCATCATTGGTGTCAGTGGATGGAATAGTGCCCCATCACTGGTGTCATTGGGAGGAATAGTGCTCCATCATTGGTGTCAGTGGGGGGAATAGTGCCCCATCATTGGTGTCAGTGGGGGGAATAGTGCCCCATCATTGGTGTCAGTGGGGGGAATAGTGCCCCATCATTGGTGTCAGTGGGAGGAATAGTGCTCCATCATTGGTGTCAGTGGGGGGAATTGTGCCCCATCATTGGTGTCAGTGGGGGGAATAGTGCCCCATCATTGGTGTCAGTGGGGGGAATAGTGCCCCATCATTGGTGTCAGTGGGGGGAATAGTGCCCCATCATTGGTGTCAGTGGGGGGAATAGTGCCCCATCATTGGTGTCAGTGGGAGGAATAGTGCCCCATCATTGGTGTCAGTGGGAGGAATAGTGCCCCATCATTGGTGTCAGTGGGAGGAATAGTGCCCCATCATTGGTGTCAGTGGGAGGAATAGTGCCCCATCATTGGTGTCAGTGGGAGGAATAGTGCCCCATCATTGGTGTCAGTGGGAGGAATAGTGCCCCATCATTGGTATCAGTGGGAGGAATAGTGCCCCATCATTGGTGTCAGTGGGAGGAATAGTGCCCCATCATTGATGTCAGTGTGGTGGAGGGGGGAATAGTGCCCCATCATTGGGGTCAGTGGGGGGGGGGAAATAGTGTCCCATCATTGGTGTCAGTGGGGGGAGGAATAGTGCCCCATTCTTGGTGTCAGTGGGAGGAATAGTACCCCATCGTTGGTGTCAGTGGGGGGAGGAATAGTGCCCCATCGTTGGTGTCAGTGGGGGGGAGGAATAGTGTCCCATCACTGGTGTCAGTGGGGGGGATAGTGCCCCATCGTTGGTGTCAGTGAGGGGAGGAATAGTGTCCCATCGTTGGTGTCAGTGGGGGGAGGAATAGTGCCCCATCGTTGGTGTCAGTGGGGGGAGGAATAGTGCCCCATCGTTGGTGTCAGTGGGGGGAGGAATAGTGCCCCATCGTTGGTGTCAGTGGGGGGAGGAATAGTGCCCCATCGTTGGTATTAGTGACACAAATGATGGGGCACTATTCCTCCCACTGACACCAATGATACTTACCTTGCTGACCCCTGCTCCAGCCTGGGCTCGCTCTCTCCCTCTCCCATCTACAGCCTGCATACCTGGCTGAAGCAGCAAAATTTGCACTTACCTGTCAGCTGTCTTCCTTCTCTGGCCGCTCTCCTCTTCACTTGCTCTGGCAGCTCCCTCGATCTTCTTTGATCTACGCGCGCTGTCGCTCGGCTCCTCCTCTCCAAGCTCCACCTCCTCGCCGGTGATTGGCCGCCTGTGTGCCTCTCCTGAGCTACAGTTCCGGTGGCCAATCAGCGGCGAGGAGGCGGAGCTGTTCAATGATCCCGGAGGCGTGGCCAAGTGATAGGGGCAGCATATCATCCCGCCCACACATCGCCTGAGACAGAGGAGCGGTGTCTCGGTTCCTCAGACCATCGGAAATATGTGTTTTCCAATGGTCTTAGGCGACCCCTGTGAAATGGTCGTTCGACCCCCAAAGGGGTCGCGACCCCCACGTTGAGAACCGCTGCTCTAACCGCTTCCATACAGGGCACTTTACCCCCCCCTGCCCAGGCCATTTTTCAGGTTTCAGCACTCTCACACTTTGAATGAGAATTGCGCAGTCATACAACATTGTACCCAAACTAAAATTTTATTATTTTCTTCACACAACTAGAGCTTTCTTTTGGTGGTATTTAAGCAACACTGGGGTTTTTATTTTTTGCTAAATTAACAAAAAAAGACCGAAAATTGTGGAAAAAAAACCCACATTTTTCTTTGTTTCTGTTATAAAAGTTTGCAAATAAATAATTGTTCTTCATAAATTTAGGCCAAGATGTGTTCTACTACATTTCTTTGGTGAAAATAACCCAAATTAGGATGTATTTTTTAGTTTGTAGGAAAGTTATAGAGTTCACAAACTATGGTATAGATCTGAATATTGATCAATCCTGAAGTACTGACAGCCAATCTAATTTCTTAAGGTCCAAGAATGTCAGCACAGTACAGATATCCCCCAAATGACCCCTTTTTGCAAAGTAGACAGTCTGACGTATTTCATAAGAGGTATGGCAAGTTTTTTGAAGTTGTAATTTTTTTGGCATAATTTTTTGGAAAACTAAAAAAATTATTTTCACAAATTTTTTTTTTACATACTGTCACAAGTGCAGTACAGCATCATCATATAACTGGCATGGCGGTGATCAGGGACACTGACTGGTGACAGTATGAAAAAAAAAATTATACATTTTTTACATTTTTTTTAGTTTTTAATTTTTTATTAAATTTTTTTTCTTTAAGATTTTTTTTTCATATTTCACTATGAGCAAAGTAGTATAATGTTACCATAGTAACATTGTACTATTTTGGGGAAGGGATAAGTTTTTTTTTTTTTTTTTTTACACAATTTGCTAATAGCAAAGAATTACTTTGCTATAAGCAAGCATTTACCTGAATGACCGATTCACTCAGGGTTTTTTTTTTTTGTGCTTAGCTGTGATTTGGCCCAGCTTGTGCATGTGATCGCTATCACCATTCACAGCTAGACACACTAGTATACAATGGATGGCATGAAAGGAAGCCATCCATTGTATACAACTGTCATGTGACCTGCTGTGATTGGTCACATGGTACTGGAAATGGGGTCGGTACACAGATCTGTCATCGGCCGTGTCTGAGGTACAGGGCTGGTGACAGATCGCGCCGCGGAGCGGCCCTGCGGGCGGGCGCACTGCGCATGACTGAAAGGACGCCATGTGGCATCCACCCGGAGGGGCGAGCCACCTTTGTGCTATTGGCCAGGCCAGAACCAGCTAATCTTTCCTCTTAGCTGAGCTCCTCCATGCCTCTTATCAGTTAGGTTGCCCTTCTTTGTACTTTCTCCATATACCTTAGCATGTGAGACCCCTTTCCACAACTCCCCTTTTTACCCTCTGTCAACATGTCACCTCTGCACACACACCCATCCCCATCCACAGCTTACACCCCCAGTTCTTAGTCACCTCTTCCCCCCTCCCACACAGCCTATCTCTCCCCATCCACATTTCACTGCTGCACCTCTAGCTACAGCTCACCCCAATCCACAGCACTCAACCTCTGCACCCCCAGCTACCCCCACAGCTATCCTAACTCTGTACAAATCCCCCTACTCACAGCTCTCACTTCACACAATCTATAACCCCCTCCCAGGGGTGGACCGATAACTCATGGGGCCCCCGGGCAATAAGGGATCATGGAGCCCCTGTGTCCTCGCCCACACTCAAAGCACACCCAAAAAAGTCTATGAAAGGTACCAGGGGCATCTCATGGGGCCCCCTACTGACCCCGGGCCCTCGGGCAGTGCCTGAGTTCCCAAATGGTCAGTCCGCCCCTGCCCCCTGCCCTTTCCCCCTTAACCTCAGCAACTCTCTCACCGTCAGTTTGCTTCAGAGGTTCTAATTTAGAGCAGTGAAGCTGAAGTTTTATCAGGCAGAACTGGATTTTTTTCTTCCTGAGTCTATTGCATTCTTATCCGTTCATAGCCCTGAAGAAGGGAGTGCATCTTCTGAAACGTGTTAATTTACCCCACCAAGGGTTTATCATCACTTTGGACTGTTTTTACGGACTCTTCTCTGTTTTTATCCCCCTTTGGTTTGTGAGAATGCATATACCTGTATATGCTTTTAAATAAATTTGTGTTTCACCACGGTAATGCACGACGAGAGTGCGCCGTTTTTCTTTTGTTCAATGATACCCAAAGCACTGTAAAACATACATCTTTGCATATTCAGCAAAAAAAAAAAAAAAAAAATATACCATGTTACCCGGAAAATAAGACACTGTCTTATATTTTTTTTGGCTCAAAAAAACACACTAGGTATTATTTTCAAGGTAGGTCTTATTTTTTAAATGTCCAGTTGTGGACAGGGGGTTCAGAGGTGAGCTGCAGGCAGTTGTGGATGAGGGTTACTATAGAGAGGGCTGGCTGATGACAGTTGTGAGCTGCAGTCAGGTGTTGCAGGGGTGACTTGACAGGTGAGTTTCAGACAGGGTGCAGATATGAGCCACAGACAGGGTGCAGGGGGGAGTTGCAGATGTGGGATGCAGAGGTGAGCTGTGGCCAGGAGGTGCAGAGCTGAGCTGTGGCCAGGGGGTGCAGAGCTGAGCTGTGGCCGGGGGGTGCAAAGGTGGGTTGCAACTCAGCTCACCTCTGCACCCCCCCAGCCGCAGCTCACCTATGCACCCTGTCTGCAACTCACCTGACTCAATTTACCTCTGCAACACCTGACTGCAGCTCACCTTGGCACATCCCCCCCTACCCCTCCACTGCCCTCATATGGTTAGCTAGCTTTGCAAAACACAGCTGTCAGCAGCCGGCCCCTCTCTATAGTAACTCCCGTTTCGGGTCCCATCTTCCCACACAGTGCACCAAGCGCACTTACTCACCGCTCCGCCTCTTCCCCACTGGCCGGCGATCACCCCAGGGGCATTGGCTTCCATGCATTAGACTGCAGGAGGAGATGTCCCACCCCTAAACACACTGCACCCGCAGATATCTGTCCCTTCCCTGTCCTACAGTGAGTACAGAGGTAGGGAGGTTCTGTGGGAGCGGATGGTGCTGTCACTTCAGCCGAGCTTCTGTTTATAAGAGACAGTAGATATGGGTGTGCGCAGGGCCAGTGCCAGAGGTGGTGGAATGGCGTTCCGCCATGTTCCGGCTGAAAAAAAGCCCTGATCACAACTAGGTCTTATTTTTGGGGTAGGTCTTATACTTTAGCAATTCCCAAAAATAGCACTAGGTCTTATTTTCGGGGTTGGTCTTATTTTAGCGGAAACAGGGTATATATGTTTGTATGTAGCACTACTCCCTTAGGACCCACAGGAATACTGTCCAGGTCTTCCCCAAAAGCTTTGCCCCACAGCCAAGCACATAGGCTCATTCACATGTTTCTTCAATGACCAATCTAGGGGTGTTGTTTTAATTTTTGGAGAACTTGGAAGAGGGTGATGGAATTAGGTGGGATACTCCAAAAAAAGAACTATGTACAGCTGAGGACACCCAAAATGGGAATTTCCTCTTAAAGCCTTTCTCCCCCGCTCCCCATTAAGGATTGGCACCTTTGGGGAGTGAGGGGGGGATTTGACAGGTACCCGCTTCCACTTCCGTTGCGATCACCTAGGTGACCGGAAGTGGAAGTTGCCCATTCCCCCCTCACCGTAGTCTTTGGGGACACGTGACAGGTCCCAGAAGACTACGGAGCCATTCACAAAGCGCAGCACTTCTTGCACACGCGCAGCGGGCACCCGGCTGTAAAGCCGCAAGCTGTCACAGCCGGGTGCCCACACTGAAGATGCCGGCACCAGGGAGAGAAGACGGCCAGTGAAACCAGCGGTGGTGAGAATATCGCTGGACTGAGGGACAGGTAAGTGTCTGCTTTTTAAAAGTCAGCAGCTAAAGTTTTTGTAGCTGCTGACTTTTTTTTTTTTTCAGGTGGAACTCCGCTTAAAGTATTCTTGAAGTCCATGCTTGAAGAAAGCATTAGACTTTAGCTTTAAGGCAGCAGTAGTAGTAGTAACTAGAGCAGAGTCCTTTAGGAAGCAGATTAAGTGCACAAAGCTCTTCAGAATACTAACCGATGTCCCATTTAGCTATACCCGCAGCTGACTACATAGCATTAGAGGGGGTTAAGTAGCACACAGTCTCTAAGACCCTTAGGGGTGTCTGTACCCACAAGGCCCAAGAACAGCAGGCTGCCTTCCTTTTTTGATACCAGGCCAGATCTTCAGTAGACAGCCCCTCAGTCAACTTTAGCAGAATCTGAGTCTCAGCATTCAGGCCCGCAGGTCATCCACCTATAACAGTAGATCCAGCAGCAATGCCTGGGAGGGCAGCATGCCTTCTCCAAGCTGGAACAATCCTATACAGGAAAGGCTCAGAGCCCAGTGTGCTCACAGAATATATATAGTTGCACAGCATGGCTTTAGAATCTCTCTAAAACACAGCAAACTCTGTACTCTTGCGCTTGGGGATGGACTCAGCAAAGGCTATCTTAACAATTCAGATGTCCTGGAAAATGCACTCCTTGCTGCCTTCAATGGACCGGGGTAATTCAATGTCACTGGATACAAAGAAAAACAAACAAGGGCGCACCAGCCTAGTGCATTATCCTAAAAAATATTTATTAGAAGGATGAAAAGTAAGTATCGTACTTAGAATTGACATCCAGGTCAAAGGCACTAAACAGTGGTGTCCAATCCACACTGCATATAAGTCCATAAATGGAACCCTGGACCTCCAACAGGCTAACGCGTTTCGAGGACTCAGCCTCTTCCTCAGAGCCAGACTGTGAGTCCTCAAAACGCGTTAGCCTGTTGAAGGTCCAGGGTTCCATTTACGGACTTATATGCAGTGTGGATTGGAAACCGCTGTTTAGTGTGATGTGCCTTTGACCTGGATGTCAATTGTGAGTACGATACTTACTTTTTATCCTCCTAATAAATATCCTTTAGAACCTCTCTCTCTGGGATAGGCTGAGGCTGTATCAAAATTCATGCTGACATCTGCATAGCTCCACGCCTATTATCCAGAAGCTTCTCAAGCTTTCTGGATGCAGAGGGAGCTATCAGGCTGGCTGCAACTAATCACACTGAACAGACCTAACTAGAAGAACACAGCAGCACTGATTACAGTGTGCAAGTTATGCTTTTACCTAACAATAAGTACAACCACAATGACTACAGTATGCCATCTAAACCTAGAACCTATCTTGGAGGGTGCTACATATATTTAGAGCTGGATCGAGGATTCAAAAATCAGTTGGATACAGATCCTCAGACACCATAATTTATGGTAACATAGAAATACTCACTTTTCAGGACCTCTCCAATTTTAAATTATAAACTAAAGGCAAAACTTTTTTTGTTTTGTTTTTGAATAGAGTGCAGAGGGATTAGAATGCTTGTCATTTTTTATCGTTGCCTGACTGTGCTAGGGAGATTCATCCTCTCTATGTGTCCTGTTTACCATTATTATTGAAAGTGAAAGTAAAATAAAAACACAAATTTTGGGATGTTCTCAGAAAAGTAATAGATGTGAAATCTTTAAATAGGGACACTAGTTCTGGTGACCTGATGTCCCCAAGGAATTCCCTTAATTTGCAGGGATTTCCTCTCACTTCCTGTTTGGCTATCAGACAGGAAGTAAAGGGAAATATCCACAATGGGACACAGATGGCGAAAAAGCCTGACAGGGATTACAACCTACCACTGGAGTCCTCTTCCACTCCTACATGACGACATCACAGAGCTGGTGGATGTTAGAGACCTTACGCTCCTCCACCTTCCGTTTGAGAATGCCCCACAGATGCTCAATAGGGTTTAGGTCTGGAGACATGCTTGGCTAGTCCATCAACTTTACCCTCAGCTTCTTTAGCAAGGCAGTGGTCGTCTTGGGGGTGTGTTTGGGGTCGTTATCATATTGGAATACTGCCCTTCGGCTCCGTCTCAGAAGGGTGAGCATGCTCTGCTTCAGTATGTCACAGTACATATTGACATTCATGGTTCCCTCAATGAACTGTAGCTCCCCAGTGCTGACAGCACTCATGCAGCCCCAGACCATGACACTCCCAACACCATGCTTGACTGTAGGCAAGACACACTTGTCTTTGCACTCCTCACCTGGTTGCCACCACACACGCTTGACACCATCTGAACCACATAAATTTATCTTGGTCTCATCAGACCACAGGACATGGTTCCAGTAATCCATGTCCTTAGTCTGCTTGCCTTCAGCAAACTGTTTGCGGGCTTTCTTGTACATCTTCTTTGGAAGAGGCTTCCTTCTGGGATGACAGCCATGCAGACCAATTTGATGCTGTGTGTGTCGTTTGGTCTGAGCACTGACAGGCTGACCCTCCCACCCCTTCAACCTCTGCAGCAATGCTGGCAGCACTCATACGTCTATTTTCCAAAGACAACCTCTGGACATGACGCTGAGCCCGTGCACTTAACTCCTTTGGTAAACCATGGTGAAGCCTGTTCTGAGTGGAACCTCTCCTGTTAAACCGCTGTATGGTCTTGGCCACCATGCTGCAGCTCAGTTTCACAGTCTTGGCAATCTTCTTATAGCCTAGGCCATCTTTATGTAGAGCAACAATTTTTTTTTCAGATCCTCAGAGAGTTCTTTGCCATGAGGTGCCATGTTGAACTTCCAGTGACCTGTGAGAGCAATAACACCAAATTTAACACACCTGCCCCCCATTCACACCTGAGACCTTGTAACACTAACGAGTCACATGACACCAAGAAGGGAAAATGGCTAATTGTGCCCAATTTGGACATTTTCACTTAAGGGTGTACTTACTTTTGTTGCCAGTGGTTTAGACATTAATGGCTGTGTTGTTATTTTGAGGGGTCAGCAAATTTACACTGTTATACAAGCTGTACACTCACTACGTAACATTGTAGCAAAGTGTCATTTCTTCAGTGTTGTCACATGA